TCTAATGTGCATTGCATACCTTGAGTTTTTTCTGACCATTTGATCACTTAGTGTCATCTGTGAATGTGAAGGATAGTGTTTTGTGTACATTGCAATGGAAGTGTGGTTGCTTAGCACATTTGGGGAGTGACCCCCCATGAGAATGAGACTCATCTTCACTGACATTGGTGTCAAGGTGGGGATGGTGTTGCCTGGAGTTGTGGTCATCCTCATGAGGGAATGCAGGGAATCAATCTCTCACCCCTCAGAGCTCTCACCTGCAGAGAGTCACAGATCATTAAGCTTCAGGGAGTCTTCCGATAAGGATGTGGTCTTCCAAATGTGTTCAGCACTCAAGCATCTGCAAAAGTCCCATGGAAAATGATAACAATTCAGAATCCTTGGCTTTCTTGGTTTCTAGACCAGCAGATCCAGATTATCAGGTGGTAGAATTTGAAACTCTCTTTTGTTATGCTAGTCTGGTTGCGTGATCTAGTTTGAGAACTACTGTTCAAATCAATTTTTGTTCCCAAATGAAACTGCTTTGTTGTCTTGTATGATTTCTAAGTCCTCTGTATGGAAGACTTCTCCTGTCAGAGAGCAGGTGAGGTGCTCCTAGCTGGTCCTGTGGCTGGAACTGGGGCTGGGTCCTAAGGAAGGCAGTTGGGAAGAAAAGATGTCTAAGCCAAACATGAAAGACAGTACATGGAAGCTGTCACAAGAGCTACAGTGACTAAATAATATAAATGTGCCCCTGGTGATAAGCAGTGCTTCTTTGGAGCAATTTGTCCCTCTAAGACAGTGAAAAACTCTTGACAAAGTCTCAGAGAAAACAGAATAAAAAAATTTACATCGATCCTCATGATATCTGCACTTATGCACCATTCCCTGCATATTAAAACGATGAGAAGCACTTTGTCTTAATATGTGAAATATATTAGAGTCTAATGCAGACAACTGCGCAATTTCTCACTGTTTGAATGTCCAAAGGAACAGTAGGCAGTGGTATGGATCCAAGAACAGTCTTCTTTATCCCAGTAGTCTGAGTATTGCAAGATCTCCAGGATCCCTCAGTCCTGCTCACTCAAAGCTCATACTGTGTCCTTCTCCTATTATCCATAAAAACTTCCCCAGATTTCCAAAATGCAATAAGATGGTGCTCACTGCTCCTTTGAGAAGCATTTGCATCGGTTTTCTGAGCCACACCATGTGCAGACCTTTTAAACAGAAATGCGGACAGATAGTTCTGCCACAAGTCCTTCCGTAGTTCCCCTTTTCTTTCAAAGGAAAGTTCCACACGGAGTTTAGCATGTGGAAACCATCAGTCTGGTCACTTCCTCCGGCTGCATCTTCCACAGCTCCAGGCATATTGGTCTATTTAAACCCTGGGTTGCTTTATGCCTCTGTGTCTTTAGGGATACATTTTGCTTTTCCTAAATAGGTGATTTCTCTTTTGTCACTTTGATCATCTAAAGTTTAAGGATCACATTTGTGCTGAGGCCTCTTGAGCACTGTGATTATGTGATCTCTCCTCTATATTCTTATTGTAGTAACCCATATTGGTTTATTCTATGTCTGAAAGTGAGAGCTGTGACTTTTTCTATAAAATATTTATATTTTTCATGATGGTTTACACAATTTTAATATGTAGTCCCACATATCTTTCTAGCTTCACAGTTCATGATTTTCTACAGACACTCAGCATTTCAGCCATATCTAAAACATGGCTCACAATTCCCAGAAATCACACACCTGCAGCTTCTTCTCTTGAGCATATCTCAAAAGCCAGTTCCTCATCCTATCACTGACAAGACTCCTATCCTTCCTACAGGAGTCAGCTCAGTTGTCACCAACTTCCTGGGAAGTCTATTAGGGGTCAGGTCTAAAGCTTGAGAAGTGCTGGAGATGTGGTCTTCGTTTAGCAGATTAGTAACCTGGTTATAAATCTTCCCTCTCCCTTGAGGCTGGATTAAGAGCCCTGCCTCTGCCAAATCTCTTATCACAGCACTTACTTCACAATGTTGCATTAGGGACTGCAACTTCTTGAACACAATCAGTAAACCATGTCTATTTTTGTGTGTTCAGCACCTGGCATAGCACTAGACTCACAGTAGGCACTTAAATAATGAGAGAGACCTGGAGAGCTCACCAATTGCAGAGACAGCCCATACAGTATTCATTAGCAAGCTCTGAGGAGCAGTCTCAAACATACTTCCTCCATACTTTGTGTTCTGATCTTATCATGTACTGCATTTTGAAATAGGTCTTCATGGAGTTTTCTAGATGTTTTTCTTTTTCTTCCTCATTTCTGATGAGTTTTCTTCACAACTGTGACTTACCACCTTTAACATCATCCAATCCCTAGAAAAGAGAAAGAGGCTGGGAGAAGGAGGCTAACATCTGTACAAAATGCCTTGTGTGGTCGGTTCTTGGGTGCAAGTGATAGGCACCAGCTATCGGTCTCTGCAACCCCTAATTTAGACAGAAGGGATTGCCACAGCTCCAAAATTTATCTGAATCTCCAACTACATCACATTGAGGAGAAAAACAGGACAGCAAGCCTGGACCTTTACACTGAATTTTCTGTATCTTTCAGGAAACATGGTTTTCCAGCTAGGTGATATCTAATTTTATTTTTCTGTACATCAACAGGCTTCTGCTAAATATTAAATAAATTTATACATTCTGAAAAAGATGTCTTCAGGTACGTAATTTTCACTTTCAAAGCACTAGACTAATTTTTATAATTAGATGTGTCTTCTCTAAATGAGACAAACTGAACAATAGCATTTCTCATATTTTGTTTATCTGCAATGAAATGAGAAAAACGAGGGTCTTTTTAGCATAGTAAGTCTTATTGAAAATATTTATAAAACTTTTATTCTCGACATAAGAATAACTTTCAGAAAACAGAAAGCACTTCCTATATAGAAATGTATGACGTCTATCTTAAAATATTGTCTAAATAGTTATTTAAAATATAAAAGTCCAGTGAAACTAACAACCAATCATAAGTTTCAAGACGTTTTGAAAACAATGATTTGAAAATAATCTCATCAAATTCCCTTTCAGTGAATGTTTTTGCTCTTGTTCTTAGATCATAAAATCATAAATTTGAGAAGTATGTTTCTTTTGTAATATACAAGAAGAGAGATCACACAGATAAGAGACTCATTGGTCTGGGATATAAGTTTCTTAAAAACCTGAAGTAATTTTGAATCGTGGGACCATACTGGTGCAGAACACAGCTCAAAGGGCCAGAGCAATGCACACTGCATTCTATCTTGACTCTCTCCCAGAGATATTCCCAGGCAAAGAACCTCCATTTCTCTGAGAACCAATTTCGTCATCTGTTAAAAAATGGGAGTTTTTCTTTATAGGGTTATTGTTATGTAGCTATGACAAAACATACTGTGTGAAAAAATAATTGAATAAGCTGTAAGGTATTGTACAATAGAAAAATAGTATAATTGGTGTTCATTTCTTAGTAACCTCTAATCTTAACTTTGTCCTTTATGAAGACAGAAACTGCATAGTGCACTCGATATATGGAAGTACACTAAGCTTTTTAGAAAGCTTTCAGGATGCATTAGCATTTGTCCTGCTGGATTCCTTCTTAGGATGCTCCATGATGTCATTAGGCCTTTGGGTGCTTGTACAGTGAGTGATTTTTCACAGACTAAGCCCTTACACTTTGATAGCCAGCAATGTAGGAAAAGCAATGATCCAAATAAAGATTGCTTTTAAATTAATTTCTTTAAAAGTAGAGATTAAAATCATCTAGATGTCTTTGGATATATTTTAAAAGAATGAAATTCAACCAAAAGCTAAAATATGTTACCAAAGGCTAAAATATGTTACCTCTGGAAAGCTTCCAGAGGGGCCATTGCTTAATTTTAAGTATTATTTCCTACAGTTGCAGTGTGTTGCTGTTGTTTTTCTTCTTTGTATAGTTGCATATGTTTTAGTTTTTCATCTTTGGTGGTAGTTTCTGTTTTTTTGCCAGCTTCTGGTGCAGATTTTATTCCTGAATGTTGCAAATGTTAAACTTCGGAATCAAAGAAGCTCATTTGGGGCCTTCCACTCCCCTGAGACAGGAGCAGGACAAGGGGCTAAATTTGGGATTCCAGTTCCTGCCCCTCAAATGGTAACAGGCTGAAGCCACACTTAGCCTTCATCCAAGATTCATGATAATCCTGGGACTGGCTGGGCTCTGACACCGCATTAGATATGTGAAGATCCAAGCTGCTCTCTACATAACTCAGGGCAGAATAGGGATTGCTTTGTAGGCATCCTGGCTGTTTTAAAGTTTTCTTTTAACCCAGTGACTTTGAAATTTCTCAGTATTTTTTTGTGTGTGTGAGTGAAAAGGAAGTCAGACAGAGGAGAGCTGACGTTCCCTGGGGGCAAATCGTGTTTTCCGTTTCTCTTTATACCAAAGTTTTTCTTGCATTTTATCTCATATCTCCTCCTACAAGCTAAAGATTTGAACAGTTCTTCTTTTTTTACCAAATTTGAGGGATGGGCCCTGCAAGGACATGCACCATCCACCGATTCTTACATGCTTGACTCGATGCATAGAAAGTGAAAGGAGGGTTTTCATTAGTCCCTTACAATAGGATTTGACCCTTAGCACTTTTCAGTAGAATTCCTGGATCCCCAAAACCCTGTTTCTGGAGAAACATGTGAAATCTTCATTTGAAAGAAACAATGCTAAAATGATATTTTTATAATTGTTGTCTTTATCAAAAATTAGCTTTTTTTAAAGAGAGGAAAATGATAAGGAAGGAAATAGGTTTCCACATTCCTAGACAACCTTTGCTAAATCACTTAATTGCAATCTTAGAGAGCCCTAATGACGAGGTCTTACAAAGGCAGTGTTAGATAGGCAGGCACAGGAAGGTATGGTCCACACTGAAAGTCACAAAGCTAATACACAGTACATCCAAAAGTTTAAATCAGTTTTGTCTAATTCTAAAGTTCATGTTTCCCCCCTATGTCCTACTGCTTCACAGAATGGAAAGAAATTGAGGTGCCTGACCTATCTGGGGAACAGCCGAAGTTTATGTTCCAGTTCCTGGTTTGTGAAAAATTCTTCCATGAAATGGTGATAGCCTGTAAGGTATAACACTAATTTTGTCATAAAGGTACATTATTGTGGGTGTATAATACCCACATTTATTTTTTAGAATATTTCTATTGATGAATTATTAATTTTAATTTTATGAGTTTTATTATATTAAACAATATATTTATTTTAGTCACAAAAAGCTTCTTTAAAGTATCAAATTTTTAATATTTATTGAGTGTTTATAAAAAGCATAAAAATTTTCAACTTTGACTCTTTTGGTGTACAAAGTCTAAAAATTATAACAGAAATAAATTGCTATATAAACTACAATGAAAATACCAATAGCACACTACAAAAAAAATCTTTACTTAACTTGCAAGCCTAGGCCAGTCTGCACATATGATAACAGTACATTCCATACACATGGATTGCTTACACTGACACTACACGTATTTTGCTTTCCCAGCCTTTTTGTAGGACATACTTGACACCTCACTGGTCTTGCTGTTTTGTCAGGAGGTTCTTATTATATTATTCAATGTGTAGTTAACAGACACAAAAATATCAATAAAATAAACTTTCAAATTCTTCATAGGTATGGCATGTTCAGAATAAATACCAACATTTTTACATCAATTGTGTGTTTCTTTACAAAATCTAAAAGGTAACATCAGAAATAAATTCCTATATGCACTGCAATGAAAATACCAATAGAACTTTACAATAAAAACATCTTTGGTTCAGCTCTCACACTCAAGGAGTCTTCACACATGACAACTGCATGTTCCATGCACACATCTCACTTACACTGATAGCACATGTGCTTAGCTTTCCTTTCCTACATGGCAGGCCACTCTTGTCACTTCTCTTGTTTTTTCAGGAGCTTCCTACTATATTGTACAATGTGCACCTAGCAGCAAAATAAGATATCAATAATATAAAAAATATGTAATTAGTGCTTAGACTAGACATCAGCATTTTCACATCAGCTGTTTACTTGCTTATAAAACCTAAAAGATAATATCAGAAATAAAAACCTATGAGAACTACAATAAAAATACTAATAGAATTCTACAACAAAAATAATTTTTGCTTCAATTGTCACACCTAAGGCAGTGTTCACACATGAAAATTTCACGTTCCATACACAAGCTTCATTTACACTGGTAGCATTGATGTTTTGTTTTCTGTCCTTCCTTGTAGGGCACAGTGGACATCGTTTTGCTTTCCCTGTTGTCGCACTAGGTCTTTGTGATGCTGCACCTGCCTGTTCATCTGTCAGCTCATCAACATGCTCCACAATTTTTTTTTGATAGTTCCCTGGGCAGGTGCATTTTGTTTTTCTTCTGCTGTGAATGATCTCTTATGAATTTGGGTCCCAAACCTCTAAAATAATTTCTCCATGGCATTTTGCACTTCTTGTTTTCTTTGTAAACAATCAAACTATTTATGTGACACGTGTTTAGAATCAAGTGAAACACAACCACTGGCCAATGCTTTTTCTTTCAAGTGACATCACAGTTGTTGCATAACCATCAACAGCATCTACTCCACCTTTGGTCTTGTTGTGGAAAGTTTTCATCTCAAGCTTCCATTTTGTTGAGGTTTCTCTATCAGTATTTCTATCATAGTGAAATGTTGACATTGGCAGCACCAGTTTGTTTTTCTTTGTCATATATGAGGCCAGTGTTATAGTTTTCTGAAATCCAATGATTGTACTGTACAATTCTCTGTTTTAAAATTGCAACATTGCACTTGGAAGTTCTGCTTTGTTTTTGTGCACAGTTCCTGCACTGGTCGACATGTGCTCTGTTAGCAAATGTAACATCAATTGGAAACTGGTAAACCAACTGTCAAATTTCACGTTCTGATGAGTTTGGGAGATGAGACCAACAAGTCTGTTCACAACGTCATTCAGTTTATTGCTATACATATAAGGACCTGATAGCTGAGTTCTAGGATAAATTTCTAAATTGAAAGCACAAGTCTTTGCATCTATAATGGCATAGATTTTCATGCCATATTTGAAAGTTTTGGGGGGAATATACTGCCTATAAAGTTACAGTAACAGTGAAATGCTGCAAGATGTTCATCAATAGTTCTGTGTTTGGGCTGGGGATTTAGCTCAGAGGCAAAGCGCCTGCCTGGCAAGCGCAAGGTCGTGAGTTTGGTTCCTGGTACCGGAGAAAAACCAAAAAAATACACACACACACAAAAAATAGTTCTGTGTTCGGATGGTGTGTAAATTGCTTGACAATTATCCACAAGTCTCTCAAACCATGAGTGGGATAGTAGCCAGATTATTCATTCTTTTTTTTTTCTTGACAGGTGGTTTTCATCAAACCTTGAGCAATTTTAATGCAAACAAAATCTCCTCGGTATCATTGTTATTCTATAAACCTCAAGCCTATACCCATCACTTTTCCATATCTTTTACATTCCTATGATCACTACTGGAAAGCCCAGGTAAGTACAGCAGACTTATGAATACTTTCAGTTGAGCTAGTGAGTTGTCAACAGATACATTTTTGAGTATAGCTATGGGTGTATAAGTTTATTTGTATATCAGCATTTGTGTATTTCACAACATCTTTTGGGGCTGATTTAAGAGGGGTAGGGAACAAAATGGAGATGAATGAAAAGAGACATAATAAAAGCAAGGCTAGAGGGCAAAGATGATCACACAAGTTTTGGGAAACTGGAGAGAAACATAGGAGAGAAAGAATGAAAGAGAATATTGAAATGTACAAAAGACAATGTTTACTCTTATGAAAATGTCATAAAGTCAAGAGAAATAGTAGAGGAAGGAGAAAGAAGATGAATAGAAAACTAAAAGAAAGGTAAGAAACCAAAATATTGAAAAAGACAAAAAACAAAAATGAGGAAAACAAAAATAAAACCTCAACCAAACAGATAAAGGGAAACTGATTAAACACAAGAAAAACAAAAATAGTAAAATCTCCCTGGTATCCACAGTTCTGTAGTGTCCAAGTCAGATCCCAGAAATGTGGTGTGTAATCTAACCAAGTTTGCAGTAGGATTTGTGCCTGGAATGGGGCTGATCTTGGGCTCTGGATGTGGGGGCTGGGACTGGTCTGAAGCTGACAACATTCTGAATGTCCTCTTCTCCTTACCGTGATTGTCTCTAGGGTGTCCTCTCAGTTGCTATGGTGCCCTCTAAGAGGGAAAGCCCAGAGTTGTTCCCAGACCTGTGTACAGTTGGCTCCTTCTAGACCTTGCACAGCTTTCTTGGTTCCACACCACACTTTGTAGCATTTCATCTGTTACAAACAATTTCCAATTTTGAATGGCAGTGCTGGCATTCTGTCCAATAGGTTTCACCCATGCCAAGATCCTCACTATAGTTTTGAACCTAAATCTAACATCGGATCATTTCATGTAGTTGTGTGACCATTTTGTACCGTTTATATGAGTCAAATATGTACTCACATTGTGTTTTGTTTGTCATCTGAATCAAGGAGGTCTGCATCCCCTGTGTCTGTATCAGTCAATTCTTGCTCCACTTCAGTCACAGGAACTTTTGCTCACCTGGCCAACATGACAGTTATCTTCATCATACATGCATGAGTGAGCTGATGATTCACTTTCAACCTCCTCTAAAACTTGCAAATCTGATTTTTCATGTGCCATTGTACAGAATTAGGATACTTCTACCAGAAAAATCAAAAGAAAACTATTTAAAAAACAGATCCTATCTGCACAGAAATTTAGCAATGACCATTTCACAGGTAAGCACTTGTTGCTGCTTTGGATCTCCTATACACACTTTGCCATTTGTCTGCCAAGGTGGTAATTGTACAAATGGGTATTTGCTTTCCCCAAGCATAGCTACTGTGAGTCATACCCACACTCCATTATAGTAAAATACATATTTAGAGAATAGAAGTTTGGTGTGGGTGTATTTTACCCTTGTGATGCTCAAGTAAACACATATAAAACCTGTTAGATGGAGCATTGTGTGGGTAAAAGTCCCAGTTTGACACTTTTGCATACATGTATACACCTTGACATTTGTCATATTAAGTGGGTAAACACGATTGCTTCCTACATCTCCTAAGCATAGCTACTGAGACCACAGCCAGCTACTATTATGCTAAAATACAAATTTACAGTAGAAAAGTATGGCATGAATTGTTGTATGCCAGTGTTATGTCCCATAGGATAAAGTCACTGAACACTGGTAAATTTTTAACTAGGACTAGCACAAAACTTAACATCTCCACCTCATGCCCACTCAGATTCCTTCTGAAACCCATGTAAATGATTCTGCTCATGAGCTCTTCCCCTTGCACTGCTCTCAATTCATGTTTCCTACTTGAGACACCTGCTTCTCTACCTCACTGGCTTCACAGTGCTAAGAAATGACAGCAGATAGTATTAAGAGGAAGGGAAGGAATGATGATTCAGTTAAGATCTACCTTCTCTGGTTTCAAGGTTGTAAAGGAAGTAATTGGGTCATATGATGGTACTATAAATTTTAATTAAATAAATATTCCCATGAAGAAGATCAGAAATAAAAGAATCACATTCTACACATGACTCAAATCTAGTTCTTGGCCAACAATTTGCTTGAATAAGGTGCATTTTAATACTGTACTGGCCATTGACAACAAAGCTAGTTATTATCTGTTTGGAAGCAATGATAAATATTTCTGTGGGAGAGAGCTTCATTTATGTGTTTATGTGTTGCTTAGTCATATGAACATGATATTCTAATAGGGGACTGTGCAAGGATCCCAAAAGGCTCTAAAGAGATGGAGGCATAAACATATATCCTAAGGTTCTGCACCATTTGCTGTGTCTGTGGCATCTCTAATAAGGTTCCCTTGCTTCTCTATCTGATTTTCAGCTTGGCAATGGCCCAGAATCCTTTATTCATGGAATTTTCTGCTTATGAGCTTTTGCTTTGTGTCTGGCTCTGGTTTATGCATTGGAGATGACAGCAATAAACACATCAGAGATTTTGGGTTAAACATTGTTCTAGCATGTACATATGTATGTGTGTGTGCATGTATGTGTAGGTGTGGTAAGTGTTCATGTGTGTAATAAGAAAACATATAATAAACAAATATATGTGAAATGCATTAGGTAGTATAAAGAAATGCCAGTGATGGGGATGTCACTGAAAGAAAAGAGTCAGGTTATGGGCATAAGAAAGGATTGAGTGTGGTATTGGAAGTTCCTATGAGGGATGCTCATAAAATGTGGTGAATAATAAACTTTTTAAAAAAAGCTTATTATGGTAAAAGACGTAGTGTTATTAATTCCTCTAAAAATACTCCTCCTTTTGAGCACACTCATCCCAACCTTCTTGTTACTTTCTGAAGCAGTTCTGGAGTCTTCTTTTGTAAGTGCCTTTAGTTTGCACTGTCAAAACATTCACCTTTCATGGCTCTGTTGACTTTGGGCAAGAGCCAAAAGTCACATGGTCTTAGATCTGTTGAATGAGTGGATTAGAGGACACTGTGGTGTCTTTATTTGATAGAAGTTGTCATAAACATTTTGAATCAATTCAGGACATCAAGGTAGCAAAGAAAAGACACAAAAGAGGACTCCAGAGCTGCTTCAGTATGCAATATAATAATCGTTGTTGAATTCCTATATCTTGTTTAGTGAAATTCTGTATCATTTCTAATTTTTTTTATTATATATTATTCTCTTTAAAAAATAAAAAAAAGTGGCAAGAGTGGTGGGTGAATGGGTTCAAAGTGAAGGGCAGGATTTTGAGAGAAATTCATGGCAATGTGTCATTTGCTGTAATAATTTATTTTTACTTTTAATTTAAATGGTCATCATATAATTGAATTAGTCCTTGCATTTTTCTTTGTATAGCTGAAGAAGGAAAACTTAGTAGGTGATTTTCTGAATAGAGCATGAAGTCTTCCAGGGAATGAGCTCTGTGGTTATCTGGGTAAGAACTTTAGAGTAGAAGGAACCATAGAGGCCAGAGCGCTAAGGCCAGAACATGTCCATCATTTTTGAGAGAGCGTAAGAAGGCCATTGTGACTTGCAGCAGAGGCGAAGCGACTGAAAGGGCAAATATCAAGGGATTATGTTGTGTGAGGGCTTTTGCTATGGTTTGCATCTTTAATCCCTCCCCTCAGCTCACATCTAAAGGCTTGGTCACCAGCCTGTGGTGCTGTTGGGAAGTGCTGGGAACAGTAGGCAGTAGAGCCTAGCAGATGAAAATTATGTCACTGGGGTGAACTCTTCATGAGGATGTTGAGGCCCTGGCCCCTCCCTTTCTCTATCTCTGATTACCATCTGAGGAGCTCAGCAGTCATCCCCTCTGTTACACAGTCCTGCCAGGGTTCTCACCACAGCCCCAAAAGCAATGAGTCTGGCTGACCATGGACTGAACCCTCTGAAACCATAAGCCAAAATTAACCCTTCTTTCTTAGAAACTGATTTGTCTCAGGTGTTTGCCATAGCAGTGGAAAGCTAACTAAGTCAACCTTCCAGGCCATGGAACAGATTAGATTCTAGGAGAACAAAATTAGTTGGTTTGAGAAAGAGGGTATACTCTGGCTACTTATAATCAGACAGATTAGCAGGGCAGGCAAAGAACTTGGTTTCATTAACTGCCTCTGGATAAACTTAGAGTTTTGTCTGTAGAGTTGAGTGAGATAAAGTATTAATGGTGTTATTAATGGAGTTAACACACCCAAAGATCCTACAAGGTGTGCATACTCAGCATGTGAGTTTGGGTGCCTGAAATATGAAATGATTGAGGCATGAACTTTCCAGGCTCTGTCCATCTCTCACTGTGTGATTTTGAAAATTTACCGAACTCCTTCATGCCTTGAACTTTTCATCTGTTAAGTGTGAATAACAATTTTGCTACCTCACAGAATCCCAGTAAGGATTAAAATGAGTTTATGTAGAATACTTACAATACCACCTTCTGTACAGTGAGCACCCAGTAGAGAGTTCCAATATCATCATGTAGCCTTTACACTTTACAAAATGCTTTCATATCTTGCATCTCACAAGAGGCTTATGAAGTAAATTATGGATCATTATTTCCATTCCAAAAAAAAAAGGGGGACTGAGGAACAAAGAATGGAAGCAAATTGCCCTAAGAAGATCACTTAGTCAAAAATCAGTAGAGCTAGTATTGACCGGGTCTCTCAACTCCAGGTATTCACTTCATTATGCTCTGCTGATTTGAATATGTACCTATATCTGACAGGAGCACAATACCAAACCTCCTCCACCTAAACTGCTTGTTCTTTCTACTTTATCAACACTTCTAATACCATCGGCGTATAGCCAGTGAGTGTGCATGTTAATAAGTGATAAAATGAAATGAGAAAGGAGAACCCTTTAGAAAGAAGACAATAACTTTAGGTTGCTTGAACATAAAGTATGGATTTAGGAGATGGCTACCAATCAGTTGTTGACACACTGTATAATTCTGAGAAAATTGCCTAACATCTTGAATC